AATCGTGAGCCAGTAATTGCAGTGCACCTATGGTAATTGATGTTTGACAATAACATACTCTGTAATGGAGGTTTTAATATGGAGCTAGGAAAATGATATATAAGCTCATTTTTTAGATGTAGTGATGTATTAATAAAATAATTAGCTATTTTAATATAATGACACATCATTGAATTCAAAATGAGTCTAATTTTTAGATTTGAATAACAATACTTTATAGAATAATGCTATAATAACCATTTAATTCTATTATTTTTTTAATATCTGTATAATAAAGTAGGATGGTTTTTGAATTTGTTTTATACATTTGTCTTACTAGGACATTTGGATTGTTCAGATCTATTCAAACTACAAAACAACAGCTGTGATGTATCCTACTTTCTCGCTTCACTCTTTTACTTTTTTCTTTTCTCACCCATCGTCCCATGATCCCATGAATAATCTCATGAATGATCCCATGATCCCACCTTCTTCATTTTTTTATTTTATTTTTTTAATTTTCTCTCCTTTTTTATTTTCCTCCCTATCTATTTATTTTTTTTTTTCCTTCTTTTTGTTTACTTATTTTTATTTATACCTTGCACGAGCATACACTAGTCATTTAATGTGTTACTCCAGTCGTTGGCATTGTGTTGGCAATATACATTACTAATATTGTGTTGACAAGTTAAAAAACAGATATAATATGATCTAAAAATATAATAAGTATAACATTATTATTTAACTTGACAAATTTTATTTGAAAAAATAACTTATCAAAGCGAAGTGGGGTAATAATTTGTAAATTAGTAGGATGGATTTGAAAATAAATGGTCAAAATTATTGTCCAATATCATTCTTAATGGTCGTAATTGAACTATGTTTTACCTTAATTATCCTAAACAAGTTATTTGTGTACACATGGCCCAATCTGATTGACCAATTTGATTTAACATTGTTCTTCATTTTTTGTCATTCCCTAACTTTCCAACTATTGGTCCAGTGGCCTAATCTAATTGACCAATTTGATTTCGTACTGCCTTCCACGTTTTACCATTCCTTAATATTCAAATTATGATTTTGTTTGGTCATTAATTCTCTTCTGAGTAATAGGAATCATGTCAATGCTACAACCATGATTATTTTTATCATAGGTTAATTTATTTGTCAGCACTTCTTAGTGGTGAAATCTTTGACATTAATATCACTATCGTGTTAATAAATAAGATACTAATGATGGGACTCATTACATTAAGAATTTTGCTACGTAACTTGAATTTTATTTTGTCTGAATGGTTAAAATTTTAGCTTGTCAATAAATCGGCGGGTCATCCGGCCAGTTGTTCAATAGATCATTTGATAAGAAGACTGACAGCAGCGATCGACAAGGTACCAATCGCGGTAGGCAAGTATTTCATCAGTCATCCAGGTGATTGTTCGACTGGCTCACAGACAAACACAAATTTAGATCATTCAAGCAAGCTCAATTTGAACTACCAATCTTTATTTTTAGTAATGGTAGAACTGACTGACTCGATGGTCAATTTGATCTAAACGATTGCTTGTCACTTCATGACGTGTTTAAGTATTCACATAAAACTTACCAAATTGTTGAATTAGTGAGTTCTGAGCAGCGACAAATGTATCGAATTGATTACCCAATGCATTGAACTGATTAGCCATTTGTTGTGCTCATTGAATGCGCTAATTGTGTCCTTCTTGTTCCATTGCCAAATAATCATTCTAGTATTGCGGTTGTTCATTTTGTTGCATGGCATTGTCATGGGGGTCTTCGGGAGCATCAGCTATTGGTGCATTTGTAACATTTAGAGATCCCAATAAGTTTTCAGTGCTACCATCTTGGATAAGTGTGTACTCTGAAATCAGTGAAGTGATTTTAATCTCTGCTTCACCAACAAGTCTAAGATGAAAAGTTTTGAAAATTTTGATTAGTAGAGCTCCAAAAACTAGTGATCGGCCACTGATAGTATCAAGATTTGCAACTACCATTTCCTTCAGTAATATGTAGCATAAATCCAATTTATGTCCAACTTCAAAACAATAGTAAGCATTAAAAATTGGAACCACATCAAAATGTCATTTTTTTGGAGTGACATTTTCTACTATAAATTGGTGGAGAATACGAAGGTAAGGTTTCAAATGTTTTGCTTGTAAATTACTGCCGGTAAATCGCCTCTCACAAATTGTAGTATAAACTTCACTTATATCACTAACAATGTTAACTAGGTCAGACCCACTCTAAAAATGGATTTGCAAATCCTCTGGCTGAACTCCAATAATTTGTGCCAAAGTGTGGATATTTAATGTAATTATTTTACATTTGACATAAGATGTAAGACTATTTTTTCTAGCTTGTCCCTCAGTAGGTCTCAAATGAACATAAAATAAATACATAAGAAGTGGATATACTTTTTGTGGTAAATTGATTAAATTTAGCCACCCCTTCGTCTCAAGTTTGTTCACCAACAGATGATCATATTGATGAGAAAGCTTTACCCTTCTCCCGGTGACAATTGATCGATTGCAAAATTGTTCAAGGCTTGTTCATGATTGTAAATGAGAAAATCAGTAGTTAGATAAGCTTGAATTTTAGACAGTTGGCGTGGTTGAGGGTTAGAGGCTTCGCCATGTTCGGGTCTTACTTTTTTGGTTCTAGGCATGACTTCTGAATATATAGTAAAGGCCAAGCTGATTATGCAATGTCAATGTGAATGGTGAATACTGGAGGTGGTAAATTAGTGGGGGTGAGGAAATAGTGTGAAAAGGTAAGCAAATTGGTATGACAACTGAAGCCTCATACCTTAGTGAGGAAATGGTGTGAACGGGTAAGCTCTTGGTGTGAAAACAGAAGTCAGCCTTTATGAAAATTATGAGCAGGTGCTGCCGGTTGACTGGCCAGAAGACCCCCCAGTTGACCTCCCAGTCGACCAGTTCTAGGTAGCTAGTTCTTGGCTTCTGTTTCGTGGATCAGAAATTGCTCAAACCTCGTCCTCTGTTCAGCTTCTGCTCAAAAATTGCTCAACGCTTGTATTCGGCTTGTGCTCTGTGAATCAGAAATTGATCAAATCTTGTATTCGACTTCCGTTCATGAAGAATACCGAAATTATTCGTACATATATAGAGTGAAGTAATGGAGGGAAGTAACGGAGGTGGAAGGTGATATTAATTTAGGCAAGTGGTGGAGAGAAGTAATGGAGATGGGTATATGTGGATCAAAAGTTGGTGGTCGTATTGAAAAGAAGTTGGTGGTTGTATTGAAGTGAATTTCGGTAGGTGGTGGACAGAAGGAATGGTAAAGATATAAATGAATAATTTTTTGAATTGAATTTTAAAAAGAGTTTGGTTATGAGTATTAATAATTAATCTTTTTGCATTGAATTTTAAATTGAGTTTGGTTGAGTGTTATTTTTTTTTTTTGGTTAATAATTAATTTTTTGAATTGTATTTTAAAAATAATTTGGTTATGAGTGTTATTTTTTTGTTAATAACTAATTTTTTTAATTAAATTTTAAAAAGTGTTTGGTTTTGGGTGTTATTTTTTTGTTAATAATTAATTTTTTACTTGAATTTGAAAAATAGTTTGGTTATGACTGTTGATAAGATTTTTCAATAGAATTTTGAGTTGTCTATTTGATTGCCAGTTATAACTTTTTTAATTAATGGTTTGGCAACTCTTGAAAAAGTCAAAAAGTTGCCAAAAAAGTTAAAAAGTTATCACTATTTACCAAAAAAAATATTAAAAAAATAATACTCCATCCGTCCCAAAATATTAGTTCCTTATTCCATTTTTCATTGTCCCAAAATATTAGTCCCTCTTCAAAAATCAAGTACAAAAATAATATAAATTTCCTATTTTGCCATTCTTTTAAATTAATAAACAATATAAAAAGTATAATTATGACATTGATATTTCCAAAAAATATACTATCAAAAGGATAATTTTGGAAAATCAACTTTTTTCAAATGTAATAATTGTACTACTAAAAAAAGTTGAATTCCCCAAAAGAGACCGTTATTTTGGGACGGAAGGAGTATACAAATATTAATTTAAATGGTAAATTAATGTAAAAGTTCAATATGACCGACCCATCATCGTACGGACACGTCAGTCACTTGCAATGAAAGGAAAAACAAAAAATAATAACATGTGTACATTCACTTATTTGCATGGTAAAGTTGGGCCTGTGGGGGCCCACCATGGGTTTTGTTTTGATAATCCGAACCGTGCAATATGTAGAAATCATCTAGTACTATATGCCTGTAAAAAATCACGTCTATCGGATATCACTAACTATATGATCAAATCAGTTTTGTATAAAAATTGGATAGTATTATAGTTAACAGTTAACAAAGAAAACTAACACGATCAGATAGTTATTGATATCCAATCAACGTGATTTTTTACAAGCATGTAGTATTCAATGAGTTCTACACATTGAACGGTTTCGATTAGAAAAACGGGACCCGTGGTGGGCCCTCACGGGCCAAACAACACCGTTCAATCAAAACGCGAGAAGTAGACAATACTTTCTCATCTACTCACCCAACCAGCCACCATTGCCATTCCGTACGCCTCCTACCTACCTTCTCCTACACTCATTTATATATATTTTTAATACACATTTTTTCATAAAAAGTAAAAAAGTTAACCCAAACATCCATATTTTTTTAACTTTTTAGTCTAAAAAGACAAAAAGTGCACTTATTTAGAACACCCCAAACAACCCAGTTTTAAAAACTCTTTTCAAAACTCATAACCAAATAAATTTTCTTATTGCACATGTCACATCAAATATTCAAAACTCAATTCAATACTTAACTCAAAACTCTTTTCAAATCTCATAACCAAATTAAATTTCTACATTTAAATCATAAATCTAAAACTCACAAACTCAAAATATAATTCTATTATCAAATCATAATTTTAAAACTCTACCAAAAACAACCTTGGTTTGAAGATGAACGCACGAATGTTTTCGTTCCTTACTGGTTGACGGTCCTGTTTTGTAGCTCAAAGTGGTAGTAATTTTAGTTGTCTATATAAAAGAATGCTTAGTGTTGCTACAAACACCACCACCTAAAATACAATACACCACTTTTCTCTTCCCTTCTCTTCTTCAAAGTTCAAAAATCCAAACTCACCAATTTCACCAAATGGGTAGCCTGCCAATAGATCTATTCAACCCTTTAGACAATGAAAATTTTGTCGATGAATCATCTAGAGTTCTTGAATTCATAGCCGATTACTACAAAAATGTTGAGAATTACCCAGTTCGAAGCCAAGTCAAGCCCGGTTATCTTCAAAAGCTATCTCCCAATTCAGCCCCCTACTTTCCAGAGCCCTTAGAGACTATCTTGGGAGACATTCAAACCGACATATTACCGGGCTTAACTCACTGGCAGAGCCCCAATTTCTTTGCCTATTTTCAAGCCAATGCAAGCACTGCTGCTTTCTTAGGAGAGATGCTTTGCACTGGCCTTAACGTCGTTGGCTTCAACTGGATATCTTCCCCGGCTGCCACTGAACTTGAAGCCATTGTCGTGGACTGGATGGGCAAAATGCTGAAGCTTCCACAGTCGTTTCTCTTCTCTGGCGGAGGTGGAGGTGTCTTGCATGGTAGTACATGCGAGGCCATAGTCTGTACTTTGGCTGCTGCCAGAGATAAGGCTTTGAATGAATTGGGTGCCGATAAAATCACCAAATTGGTGGTGTATGGCTCGGATCAAACGCATTTCACCCTCCAAAAGGCCTCCAAACTTGTTGGAATTAATCCTAACAATTTTCGCGCGATCAAAACATCAACGTTGACAAGCTTTGCACTAGCACCGGAAGATGTTAGAGCAACGATGGAGGCAGATTTGGCATCCGGGTTGGTGCCATTGTTTCTCTGTGCAACTATAGGTACCACTGCATTAGGTGCTGTGGATTCTCTAGAGGGACTCGGACAGGTGGCAAAAGACTACGAAGTTTGGTTCCACGTGGACGCTGCTTACGGGGGCAGTGCTTGTATCTGCCCGGAATTCAGGCAGTATTTGAATGGAATTGAGCTTGTTGATTCCATTAGCATGAATCCACATAAATGGTTTCTCACCAACATGGACTGTTGTTGCTTATGGGTCAAAAACCCAAGTACATTGGTTGATTCTCTATCCACAAGTCCTGAGATTTTAAGAAACAAAGCCACTGAGTCAAAGAAAGTAGTGGACTATAAAGACTGGCAAATCGCGCTGAGCCGGAGGTTCAGAGCCTTGAAGCTGTGGCTTGTGATAAGAAGGTATGGTGTGGCTAACTTGATGGAACACATCAGAAGTGATATCAAACTAGCCAAGAAGTTTGAGGGATTCGTTGTGGAAGATGAAAGGTTTGAGGTGGTTGTGCCGAGGAAGTTTGCGTTGGTGTGTTTTCGGCTGAAGCCGAGGAGGCGTGAAGAAGATGGGTCGAAGCTGAACTGGAAGCTGCTGGAGGAAGTGAATTCGAGTGGAAAAGCTTTCATGACCCATGCAGTGGTGGATGGTACATTTCTAATACGTTGCGCGATCGGAGGGACATTCACTGAGGAACGACATATTGATGGGTTGTGGAAGTTGATTCAAGAAAAGGCTGCTGATCTGTTACTATTCAAGAATGGTTGCAATATAGAAGAGTAGACTTGTATGTTTCCTATGAGAAACATAATATATACTACAATAAAGGGCAAATTACATATACACCCCTCGAGGTTTGGCTAAATTACAGATACCCCTGAGGTTTCGGAAATTACATCCCGCCCCCTGAGGTTTGTATTTTCATAACAATTTGCCCCCTGAGGTTTATATTTCATAACAAATTACCCCTTAATTTCTTATGCAAATATAGCATTCAGGGGGGAATTCGTAATTTCTCAAACCTCAGGGACATCTGTAATTTAGCCAAACCTCGAGGGGTGTATATGTAATTTGCCCTACAATAAATTATATCCGGATTAGTCAGAGTTTGAATCCGGATTAGTCAGAGTTTGAATCATATTACAATAAAGGACAGTGCTAAATTGCCCGAGACAATGTCCCCACTATTGGGCCCGAATGATGGATTGCTTATGTGGCACTGATATGGAATATATATATTTTTATTTTATTAATTTTTTTATGATATTATATTTCGTTGTTATTGATGATATATGATTTCTTAAATTATTTTATCAATTTTTTATTCTAATAAATTCTATGTCTTTAATAATATCAGTACTTAGTAGATTTTGTAAAAAATTACGTTGTTATTGGCAGTTTACTATTAATATTATTACTTAATTACGATCTAACAACAGATCTTGGATATAGAAATGGTGAAAAACACTCATAAAAAAAATATAAAAAAAAACTATTTATTATTTTACTTCTTACATTATTAAGATATTTCGATTTTAGGCCCACTATACTTCTAAAATAAGAACAGTATCTAAATTTTTTGATTTTCACCTGAATATAGTCAGCGTAGGGCTTTGTCATTGGCAAGCTTTTAGTTTACAGAGGTGTCTGACCTCAACATTTCCTTCCTTAGATCAAGCTTAGTACAGATTTGTTTCGTTTCCTACCTCAGACCGTTGCTTCAGAAGTTGTTTCTTTGATTATGTATTAGACTTAAGATCAATAACTTAACATACAATAGTAACACACTTTGTTCTGGAAATGAAAAACTTTTTTATTTATTGAACAAATATTTATAAGGAAAATAGTGCTTGTAGACTGTTAGATTGCTAGAGTATTATTTGCTCTGAGAATCATACTTCTTTCTTAGTTTCAAGTATATTCTAAATAATCTGTGTCCTCTTTTGCTTTCCCTTAAGGCCTTTATATAGACACTTTGTGGACTTCAAGTCTGAACTTCAACCTAATCTATAAACATAATTTTTTTTACATATTATATTTTATTGTTGTTAGAAGACAAACAAAAGACAAGTAAGCAAGTGGTGTGATTACATGATAATCACATATTATTTATGAACAAGAAACATCTGGTGGTGTAGTCACATAAAGGTATAGTCTTTTCAGCCCTTGATTTTGCCAAATTGCCCATGGTTTTGTCAATACATTGCATTCTCTAGATTCCATACACCCTCACCACCCATGACATCACTAAGATCATAATTCTCATCATACTCTTCAAACATTTCATCCCATCTTTCTAGATCTTGCTCCATCAGATATTTTTCTAAAAATTTACATCATCTTTCAGATAAATATGTTCCATAATCTACCTGTTTCAAGTAGTCGTATATTGATTCATAAGGCAATCCTAGAAAATTTGTTTTCTTGGCCAAGGATGGTGTTACTGCAAAGGTGGTCCTTCCATAATTAACTAATTTAAATCCAACCCTTGCTAATTCTGTAGTTTCATGAGATATTATGAAAAATCCTCTTGTCTTTGCTTATATTGGTTCTATTAAAAAAGGTGCTTCCCAATCTTTAAACCAATCACATTTGTAGGGGATCACGTCATTCTTATCTTTTAATTTTATCAGATAATAAGTTGCATTTAGACGTCCATCATTTATCTCTGTTTGTGCAGTTGTAAATGTGATGGGTTTCATGCTTGTATATTCTTTATAGATTTCATAAATTCTCTTGAACATGAATTGTTGGAACTGAGAGAACAATGTACTCTGTGGGTGAGGTGGAATGTTGAATGTATTGATTATTCTCAATTTCCACATTTAAACCAAAGGATTTTTTTGGCTAATGATTTGTCTAGATCAAATTAAACTTTTAACATTCTATAACTGTACAAGGATGTACGTCTGTTAAAGTAGCACCACTGAGTTCCCAGATAGTTGACACTTTCCTCATACCATTTTAGAAATAACTTAATGAAAGTATACTCTCTTATTTTATTTTGGATATTTTATTTTGGATATCATGAGGGAGTTGAATAAACAAATATAATACTTATAACCGTAAAAAGGTTTTGGCAACTAAATGGGTGGTCCTAATGAGCTTGTTGATCGAACGACACTTTCCCACTGCTTGTATTTTCCTAATAATTTCAGCATGTTTTGTGTCACTAAGTCCAACACTTCTTGAGTCTTTGCCAGAAGTGTTTCCTTCTCTAGCATTGTGAGTCTTGTGGACGTGGAAGCCATCTGCAAGTTCTCGAGTTAGAATATCTGCTAAACTATTTTTTATTACTATTAATATGTTCTACATCAAAGGTAAATTGTTTTAATCAAACTTGCTATCGTAAAAGCCTTCATTGCGACTGTATGTTAGATAAATTCTTATTTACGAAACCTAGTAGGCATTTACAATTAGCTCTTATTAAAAATGGTTTTGGTGCAAAAATTATTAAATTTTTTTGTATTCCTTTTATTATGACTAATAATTCTCATTCCACTGTGGGATAATTACATTCAGCTTGATTAAAATTTCCACTACAATGCCTACATAGTTGATTATTATCTTTTATTTTCAACACTGCGCTCCAATGATTGTTACTTGCATCGATTTCTAATACTAGCTCATCATTTTTCATTAGAAAGTGTAAGGGTAGGAAAATCTTTACACTTTTTCTTTAAAAAATTTACTAATGTGGAGTCGGCTGAGTTCGAAGTCCAACTCTCATCCTTTTTTAGTTTCTTTTGTGAAGGTTTTCTTATTTTAACTTATAAAATCTGAGGCAGAAGTTAAACATTCTAAAAATATTGTAATTGTTTTCTATCCGTGATTTTATCAGGAAATTGATTAATTTTTTTGAGAACATGACTTTGCATTTTTATTGATCCTATCTTGATTTCAAGTCCTATAAATTCTATTTCCTTTTATGCAGACACACATTTGTCTTCACCTAACATTATTCCATGTTCTTCACATTTTTCTATTATTATTTTGATATCTATTCTATGTTGTTTTATGGATTTAGAGAAAATTAAAATATCATCTATATATATAAGACAAATATTATTTAGTTCCTTAAATATATTATCCATTCTTTTATGAAATATTGGAGGTGCATTTTTCTGATCCAAATGGCATTACAAGCTATTTATAATGTCCTTGTGGCGCACTAAAAGCTGTTAGTGGTATACTTTCTTTATCCATTTTGATTTACCAATATTTATTTTTACAGTCCATTTTGGAGAACCAGGAGAACCCTATATTCTGTTAAAAAAGACTTACTTATTTGAAATAAAATAACCATCTTTTTTAGTATTATCATTTAATTTTTTGTAATTTATTACCATTTCCACTTTTCCTCTTTTAATCTCAGCATGGTTTCTAACCATAAATGCTGGACTACTATGTGGACTTTTACTATCTCTAATTAGTTCTTTTCATTTGAGATCTTCTATCTCTTTTCTGAATTCCTCTATATCATTATAAATATGTACCATTTGTTTTACTCTAATTATTTTATTAGGGTCAATTAAGTCGAATTCAGCTATACTTATATTTTTGTATTAAAATTTTAATAGATCTTTGCTATATAGATTTTTGCTTCTTTCTTGTTGCTCTTTTTGAATTTCTTTCTGAATACTGATTTCTAAGCGTCTAGTTGGAGAGATTACCTCCTCACCACGCTTGTTGTAGACGAAATCAATGTTGTGATGTGTAACAACCATTTTTAGCTTTAAGACTTCAACTGATTTATTGTTATTTGTAAATATAACAGAGTGTAATGTTTGAGTACAAGGGTTGTATAATTTTTTAAAGTTATTTCTTATAATTACATCTAGTGATGGTTGACCGGTTGCCCAAAGTTTAAGAATGATAAAGGTGATGGAATTAATTTCTATAACTAAATTTTCTATGGCGTCATTATGTATTGTACTATTATTAGCTATTCGAACTATTAATGGTGAATTTTGCTTTTTCCATATATACTCAAGAAAGAGTTTCCTTTTTTTTTCTTTTTTTTTTTCTTTCCAAAACACACCGAGCATCCACTGTCTAAGTAAGCAAATAGTTTGTAAGTATTAAATCATTCCATGCGTATTTTTATGGGTATATATATATATATATACTATTAACATTAGTGTATTATTCTTTTTGTGTCGTATTCTTTTGCACCTCTTCTTTATCGTCTTTTGTCTAAGCCATGAGATTTTCCTCATCTTCATATACTGGCACACTCGTAACTCTATATCCTATTATTCTTTTACTAACTGAACTCCTATTCGATTGTATTCTGGAATTATCTATAGAGTGTCTTCTTGATGATATACTTACATTATCCATCTCATCATTGTTTTCTATTGTATTAGGAGTTTCTATTTTAATATTTCTGGTATTATCAATTTTATTATATATTTTTTCTTTTTGTAATATTTTTAGGGTTATTGAAACTTGCTATCCATCAATTATCTAGTTTAATCTCATTAGGATTTAATTTTTTTAGGTGTAATTATATCTATTGGTATTCCATTAGTAGGTTCAAATTTATTTGCTTCTATAATTTTATGTTGCATCTTAAGATCTATGGTATTATCTAATTTATATATTATTTTTCAAAATATCTTTAATGGATAGGTGGTCTCATGCATGTCGATTCCTATAATCTTTATATTTAATACTAAGAATCTATTAATGAATCCATTTCTTAAGCTAATATGGTATTCTGATCTACAATTAAAACCTAATAGCCCTCAACATAAATTATTTTTTATTCCATTGATTATAGACCTTCCAAAATTTCATTGTGTAATATCACACAAAAATGCATATATATATATATATATCTTGTCCTTTATCAAACAATGGTGTAATTTGTATTTGTATACTCCCTATATGAATATATTTATACTTATTATCTTTATTATTTTTTTAATATATTTTCATAATTTATTAAATTTATTTCTTCTACATCATATTCACAATCATTAATTTCAATATCTCTTTCCATTCTTTCACATATATATTTATTTTTTAATTTAAATATTGATTTTTGATATATTTCGTCTTTTCGTATTATTGGTAATATCTAATCTTTTTCTATTTATTTTTCTTGAGAATTTTCTATGACAAATTGTTCTTTTCTTAAATTTTTTGTACTTATTTCTTCTATCATCATAAAATTTAGTTCTTTATCGGTATCGCTATAATCTTCGTATTCTATTTCTATTTCTTGTTCAATTAATTCTATTATTCCTTTATTATTTTCTGGA